AATATTATTTAAATAAATTATATAAATATAATTTATTAAGCTTTTAAGCGCCTTATTAATATACTTTTAAAAAGTAACAGGGGTATTAATTAATTTAAAAGGTATTACCTAAAACTTATATAACCTATATTTATACTTAAAAGCTATTTTCTCCTTATTTTTTTTATAAACTCTTATATAATAATATATATTTTTTATATTTAGCTTAAAGTAAATTTTTATACTTTAAAGCTAATTAAGGATTTTATAAATTAAAGGTAGTAGTATATAGTTTTTATATATTATTTTATTTAATATATAATAATCTATATAAAGGTATAGCTTACCTCCCTTTTTTAAAATAAATAATATTAATATACCCTAGGAACTTATAAATTAATATATTTAGCTTTACTATAATACTTACTTAATATATTTTTATAATACCTCTAGCTCCTTTTTTACTAAAGAGTAAATAAATCCTTAAAAAAATTCTACTTTTAACTTTAGATTTATTATATATATTAGTTTTTATAAAAGTATTAGCTTTATTATTAATTTTAAGTTAAATACCTTTACCTTATTTATATATTTTATAAATAAAGGCTTTATAGCTTTCTTTTAAAGTAAGGTTATAAAAGTATTTTAGTTTATAATAGCGCTAATATTAAAATATATAATAACTAGTTTAACTTAAGCTTTTTTTACCTAGGTATATATTTATTACTTAAAGGTTATTATTATTAAAATTTTTATTAATATTAAGTATTAAAAAAATTATCTTTAGTAATAATAATAAAATCTATTTAATTATATTATAATCTCCCTAGGATAATATTATTAAATATTTTTACTATTATAAAACTTATAAATATTTACTTCTTAACTTTTTAATTATCTCTTATCCTTAAGAGCTAAAAAATATAATTATATATTTTACCTAAGTTTTTATATACTAAGGTAATTACTAAATTATTATTAAATATTACTAAAGTATTCTTTACTAAGTATTTACTTAATATATTAATATTATTTTTAATATTAAAAATAATAATTTTTAACTTTTATATTCCTCCTACCTATATTTATACTTTCCTCTTTATTATAAGGAATATAATAAATAATAGCTTAAATAAATAAGCCTTACTTTCCTAAGCTTTTTTTAAAATAATTAATTTAAAGTTTAAGCTTTATATTAAATTAGCTAAAATACTTACTTAAGAGTTATTATAATACTTTATAATATACTTTTTATTTTTATAATATAAGTAATTTAGCTTTTTATAGCTTATAAAATAATACCTAGGAGTTTTATATTTATAATATATAATCTTTAATAAAAGTTTATACTTTCCCTACTTTAAAATAGCCAAGGGGTTATTAATTAAAATATTATTCTTTATTTAGCCTAAGGATTATTTTAGTATAATTAAAACTTCCCTTTTTTTATATAAAATATAAAAAATATATTTACTTTTTTTAAAATAAGTAAAATTTCTTTCTCTTTATTTATCCCCTTTACTAAGGCTATTAATAATTAATTTTACTTTAAAATACTTTTTATAAAAATCTTACTATATAATAAAAAGTCTTTTATAAAAAATATATTTTTTTATTTTTAAAAATACCTTTTAAAAAAAAATTAAGATTTTATAATTATTATTTATATAATATAAAACTTTATTATTAGCTTTTTTAAATTATTTAATAAACTTTTTTATAATTTTACCCTTCCCTTAATATATAATATTTAATACTTTTTTTTTATTAATAATATAAAATTAAATATTTTTAACCTAGTTTTTATATTACCTTAAGTATTATATATAAGTAATATTATTATAATTTTATTAAAGTTCCTTTTTAAAATAATTAATTTAGTATTATTAAGTTTTTTTTTTAAAATAAAGGCTTATTATAAAAACTTTATATATTTTATTAATAATTTCTTTAAATATAAATAAAATATTAAATTTAAAAATATAATTTTAATATTCTCCCTAAGTCTTTTTTTTAAATATAGGCTTTAGAAAATATAACTTTTAATTCTTTATATAATTTATTAGCTTTTTTATAGGCTTTTTTTAAGAAATTATAATAAGTAATTTAAAAAAAGGCCCTTTTTATAAAAAAAACACTTTAAATTCTTTATTTTAAAAGTTAATAAAATTTACTAAATATTAAGTAAGCTTTTTTTTTTAATTTTCCTTTATAATAAAAATTATAAAACTAAGTAATTTATCTTTAGTTAAAAAAATATATTATTTTTTAAAAAGGGCTAGGGAATTTAAAATAATAAATTAAGGGTTATATTATATATTAAAAATTAAAATACTAATTTAAAAAGTAGATTTTTCCTTAAAAAGTATTATATAAAGTATAAAGCTTTATTATATACTTTTAAAATATAACTAACTTTTTACTTATTTTTAAGCAGTAGTCTTTATTATCCTTACTTTAATAATCTCTTACTTTTTAAAAAAAAATAAACTTATTAAAGGCAGTAATATATAAGAAAGTAATAAAGTTAAGGAGAGGTTTTAATTATTATAAAGGGAATAAAGCAGCTAAGAGGTATATAATAACTATATTTATCTCTAACCTCCTTTAAAACTAAGGGGATTTACGCTCCTTTATATAGTAAATCCTAGCTATAACTAGCCTCTAAGCAGTAACTTTAGCAGTATTCGCCAGCTCTGTGGCTCTATTATGCCTCTTCCTTCCTCGGGCCCCTGACAATATGATGATGCTGACAGATTGGAATGACCAAAGTATTGAATACGAAGGTCTAACTGGCTGAGTTATAAAGGGCTGTTTCTTAATACTGTTAGATTTTGCTTCTCCTGTTTCTGGATCCCAACATTTTACCCTTCATGAAGCATACATGAGCCCCCTAATCAAGGGAATTCAACAAAGCCTCTAGAGATGTCTCTTCACCAATCATAACCTCAATGATTCTCTCTAGTTTGTTCGAAAGGCATCATTTCTATTGCCTGATTCTGCACGGCCGTCAAGTATTCCACAACCTGCTGATCTTTTACACGCTTGGTACGCCATGGGACTGTGGCAGTGGTTGGGCCGGGCAATATGTCGATATAAAGAACATGAGCTTTTCTGCCTGATACGGCCATGCCAAAGACCACGTCGTCAGAACTTGTCATTCGGCTGACAACTAGAGCCCACGCTGCCTGCACAAGACTTGAAGCCGTGATGCCCAGAGATTTGTCTTTGATGGGCAGCCTTTTCCGCTGCGTCAAGTATGAGACGTAGAGACCACTCATCACACAGGGAGCGATGCACGGTCCATACAAACCACCGCGGTCTGAGAGTCTCGTCGTCCTTGACAATGGCATATCGGGAGGTCATCGACTTATCTCGATCCATTTGGAGATGTGGCTTGAGGCCTTGAGCCTCAATCCAATCAACATGTTGCTCTATAACCACTTGCATAAGCCCATGCTGGCTGTGACGTACGATTCTGGTACGAAGCATCGAAGCCGCATTGGCTGTTTTCTACCATGTTTCCTTGAAAAGCTCCAACTGCACGTCTTGACCCAGTCCGAGTGTAATTCGTGTCACGTTGTCTCCTGCACATCTTGGTGACAGTGATAGAAGGTCCTCTTGAAACTGCGTGCAGGGATTCGCGTCTTCTATCGAGGATACGTGTGTGTTGCAGAGCGTAGTGATATCCTTTCGTAGACTATCCAAGACTGAGATGTCTCCTAACAATGAGAACGGCTGCGGGATCTCGACACTGGGCATGGATGGATCTCCTTGGGCCTGACCAGGGATTGCGGGACATTGGAGGCTGGTTTGTGGTTGGTTGTCGCACATCCTCCTCCTGGTGAAGCTTCGTCATAAATAGCTGAGATGATGCTTTACTAGAGCAGGGTCTATGGGTGGCCCAGAAATGATGGCGTCAGGGATGCCCATGTTGAATCTGTGTGAAAAGACTTTAATAAATTGGCTGTAAATAGTCCAAGTGATAAGTTGCTGCTACGATTGGAATCTTGGAAAATTAACTTCGCAATCTGGTCCTGAGGCCCTTCCACAAGCATGACAGAGTCAAATAAGCCCTCGACAAACTCTCCACGGAATAACTCACCATGGTATTACGTAGAAGCTCTCTTTAGTGATACATCTCCAACGTCAGCTACTGATGCTATCAGACAATATATAGCATTCATCCGTCACTCGTTTCAGATATCATTGCCAAACGGCACCTGATATGTCTTGTAACAACCGTCCACGAAGTCTCACATGAAGGGACATAATTCGTTCGATTTGCAGCAGTACACCATCAATTGATTGATTAGATACTGACTACGGGCCAAATTCTCCTCCCCATTGACCTTCAGGTTAGGCGTCTTATAAAATCATCAACATACAGGATATACAGATGCAGTGCTCATTTTCTCACTACACCAAGCTCTCTATGGTAGTGGTCTTGTTCTCCTTGTGTAGACACATATTACCTTGGACATTGCCTCCCATGTTCGACATACATGGGAACTAATAAAAAAATACAATCAAAGTCCATACAACTGAGCTTAGGGAATATCATCTAATGATTGAGCAGAATCATCGTCGCATGCGGATATACTTTGTGATGCACGGGTTATTTCGTGATATGCATCATCAATTCTTACTACAGACAAGGCATCACCATCTCTCTTCTTTCATGATACAACATGTCTAAAGCGCCACCTGCATGCCATATTATGTATTGATCACGGAATCCAAAAGTACAGTCATCACAGCTGCAATTGCATTACATTCTGTACCACATCCTGGCAATACAATTGAAGCTCGTCCATGTCCAATCCAGGCACATGCAACCAATAACATCACAGAACACCTCAAAAAGTGGATCACCGGCACCATCAACGATTCGTGTCTTTCTGGCGTGTCTCGATTAGGCGATGCATCACTCGACAGCCAAATCATCATCAACCACCTTTTTTTGTTCTTCTTCTTCTTTTAGAGCCATTGGCCAAGGAAATCTCAGGCTGTTCGACGCAATGGCTCGTAGCAGCGCCTGCAAGACTTTGGCTGCGTCATGCGTCTTCTTGCTGGCGGCCTGTGCGGCGGCATCGCACGTCAAGGGAGCCCCAGCAGCCATCGAGAGTCTAAGCTTGGAGGAGCTTGATGGCCAGCTTCAGGTATGTTTAGCAGGATGGATAGTAGAGAAAACACACACAACATCTATAGCAGTGCTAACTGAAGCCCTTGCCTTCCCGCGCCTCTAGACATGCCCCGTCATCCAGGAACTCAACGCCGCCAAGCGGGCGCATTTCGAAACCGCGCCCTCCTCCCTCACGACGAAGCTCTTCTCCGTGCTCTTCCCCGGCTCGCCCGCCGTCAACGCCCTCCTCGCCACGCTCTACATCTCCGGCCCGCCCAACTTCCTGCTGGCCCTCGTCCCGACCAACATCGACCCTTCCTCGCTGTCCGTCATGGTGGCCTTTGCCGTGGGCGGGCTGCTGGGCGACACGCTCTTCCACCTGCTGCCCGAGATCTTTGTCGGCGAGGACGAGCCGGACAGGGCCCGGTTTGTGCTCGTCGAGCCGAACCGCAACCTCATCCTCGGACTGGGCATCTTGGTCGGCTTCATGACGTTTGTGGCCATGGACAAGGGACTGCGGATTGCGACGGGTGGCGCTGGACACGATCACTCCCACGGACATTCGCATGATGAGGGACGTGTTGCGAACGCGGATGTCGGCATCTCCACGGGGGCAAACACGCTCAAGAACGAGGCTAAATCGCGAAAGACGAACAAGGGCGACAAGCAGAGCCGAGTCGACGAGTCGAAGCAGCTCAAGGAGATCAACCCCAGCGTAAAGCTAGGAGGCTATCTCAACCTAATGTAAGCCATCTCAGCATCTCAACACTCCTCTACCAGAAACACCAAACCAAAATACTAAACCACCCCGCTCCCTCTCCAGCGCCGACTTCACCCACAACATCACCGACGGCCTCGCCATGTCCGCCAGCTTCTACGCCTCCCCCACCATCGGCGCAACCACCACCGTCGCCGTCTTCTTCCACGAGATCCCCCACGAGGTCGGCGACTTTGCCCTCCTCGTCCAGTCCGGCTTCTCCAAGCGCGCCGCCATGGCCTCCCAGTTCGTCACCGCCATCGGCGCCTTCATGGGCACCCTCATCGGCATCGCCGTCCAGGAGTTTGGCTCCGGCGCCGGTGACGACGGCGAGAGCATGGCCCGGAACGCGGGTCTGTGGGGGACGAGCCTTGTAAGTTTCAACACTCCCCCCCCCCCTATTTCACCCCTTTTTCTCTCTCTCTCGAATATGTGATGATTTCCCTTGGATGGCCCTGATATTAATATGTGTGTTTTTGTTAGACATGGGGCGACATGTTGCTGCCTTTCACGGCCGGAACTTTCTTATACGTCGGCACCGTCGCCGTCATCCCGGAACTGCTAGAGACTGGTCCCAACAAGATGCTAGAGCTGCGCAAGACGCTGACGCAATTCACAGCCGTTGCTGTCGGCGCGGGCATCATGCTGTACATTTCATGGCACGAGTAAAAGAAATCGACAACTAGAGGGGGGGCAATATATAGAAATAGACACACTAGATCTGTCAAGCCCATCATCTTCCAGACATCTGAGCATATTAAACAAAGATCCTGACTCAGTTCTGCTATATAGTGTACGATAAGAAGACTCAAAAAAAAAACGGCGTCAACTTGAAAGAAATCGGGGCGCAATACTTGTGCATCATATCCTTATTCATCAAATGTAATGAAAAATAAAAACTACTCATAAACCAATGTTTAGGCCCCATTCCTCCTCCTAACCCGGTATACCATCCAACAATGAAACAGTCCACCCATCCATCCCATCTATACAAATAGCCTCATGCCCATCCCATCAGTGAAGAAGAAGAAGAAAAGAAAAAGAAAAAAAGAAGGAGCAAAACGTCGGTATCTTGAAGAGAAGAGAGAAGAAAGAAAAAGAAAAACAGTGAATATGATGCGCAATCCCCAACAGTAATTCCTCCATCTCTCCCGTATGCCATGCAAAGCAGCCAGCCCTCCATCCATTGTCTCATCACTAGCAAACTCAAGTCTCATTTCAATAGACATGGTACTTTGTTTTTAGGTATGCTTCTTGTTATTTTTGTTTTTTCGAGTTGAGATGTATTGGTTGGAGAGCTTTTGGTGGTATCATTTGGTATCATTTCTTTCATGCGTGCATCCCCTAATCCTGGAAAAACTTGATGACTTGCTGCAAATCTCTCAAGCCGACGCCGTGCTTGGGGTAGCAAATGTACACCTCTTCACCGAGGGCACCAAACTTGGACCGGAAACCAGCCTTTCTGCGCAGCCCAAGACTCTCGACAATGGAACGGTAGGTGGTGGCAAGGAACTTGGCCCGGATGCCGTGAAGGTGCTCGCCAGGGGTCAGCTTCTCCGACACGCCGACACCAAACGTCACCTGTCCAGTGACGCACGACAGCGCGTGCTCAATGAGGACCTCGATGGCGCCGTTGACGGCTCCGGGGAAGTCCAGAGCCCACTTGACCTGCCAGCCGTGGCGGGGAGACAGCTTGGCCAAGACGACCATGGCGTGCACCTTGCCGTCCTTCTCGGCGGCAAAGTAGCGGCGGTGCTCCGGGTCGACCCAGGGGCGCACCTCGGTCAAGTGCACCTGCTTGCCCTTGCGGTTGGCCTTCCAGGCCTCAATGGCCGGGTCGGCGCGCGAGATGAAGTCCTCATCGGGCTTGACTTCGTGAATCTTGACGCCTTCACGCTCGACTCGGCGGGCCTTGGGTCCGCCAGCCGGGCTCTGGTGTCTCGCGGTGTCGACACGCTGCTCCTCGGTACAAGAGAGGGTTCGCCAGCCCATGTCGTGCGCCAGAATCCTCTGCACGTCGTACGAGACAAGCATCCACATGGGGACGAGCTTGAGCTCAGTCACGACGTACTTGACAAACGACGAGACGACGTCCTTGTACTGCGACTTATCGCAGAGAGGATCGCCAGTAATCATGGCAAACTTCTCCTGCTTGACATATCCAATGGCGGCGCCAGACTTGTGTCTCCAAATCTCGAATCGCTCGTCCAGCCAAGAGGTGTTGGAAGCATCGCCGTAGTTGGCAATGAGCTTCTCGACCGGGGGGGTATGGAGTGCGGCATACTGCTTGGTGGTGTCGGCCTCGGGGTGGGGCAGGCCGGGCTTGCGGTCGGGGAGAGACTTGGGGTCGCGGTAGAAGAGCGAGGCGTTTCGCACGTCTCCGAGCTCGAGCATCCAGGTCACGATACGCTCGAGACCAAGACCGGCTCCAGCGTGTGGCGGCGCGCCGAGGTCGAAACCGGCCATGTACTCTTCCATGCCCTCTTCGGCAATGCCGGCGGCAGACATGTTGGCACGCAGCTCTGTGGCATCGTGGATACGCTGACCACCGGAGCAAATCTCCTGGCCGCGGATGAAGATGTCAAAGGACCGGGTCCACCTGGGGTCTTCGGGGTCTTTGTGGGTATAGAAGGGGCGGGCGTTTGTGGGGAAGCGGTCCAGCACGTAGTAATCGGTGTTGTACTTTTCTCTAACAAGCTCGCCCAGTCGGATCTCGTCAGAAGTAGAGAGATCCTCCTCGGGAGCCTCACGACCGTCGTCTCGGAGCATCTGGAGGCCGTCTCGGAAGTCGAGAATCAGCGTCTCGTCCAGGTACTTGAACTCGCTGCTGGGCCATCGCTGCTTGAGGACCTCGACCTCGGGCATGGCGTAGACGGCCTTGAAGACGTTCTTGAGGAACTCGTCAAGCACCTGGATGACCTCGTGGTAGTCGTGCTCAATAGCCATTTCAATGTCCAGACCGGTGTACTCGGTCAGATGGCGATGAGTGTTTGAGTTTTCGGCACGGAAAACAGGACCGATTTCATAGACACGACCAAAGTCGGCAGAGACAGACATTTGCTTGGCGAGCTGGGGGCTCTGGGCCAAGAAGGCCTTGCGGCCAAAGTAGTTGACCTTGAAGACGGAGGCGCCGCTCTCAGTGGCAGCAGGCTGCAGCTTGGGGGTGTTGATCTCTACAAAGCCGTAGCCCTCGAGGGTGTCGCGGAACTGGCGAGAGACCATGGATCGGATGCGGAACAGGGCCTGGTTGGCCGGGTGTCGCAGATCAAGAATACGCGACGACATGCGGTTGCGCATGGCCTCGGGAGGTCTGTAGACGCTGAAGGGGGCGCTCTGGGCCGGGTTCACAAGCCACAGGCCATGGATATCAACCTCGGCGTGGGAGACGGTGGCGGATCGGACAGGCTCGGGAGGCGCCTTGAGAACACCGTTGACCTGAAGCAGCGACTCGGCAGGAAGCTTCTGCACCCACTGGACCATTTCCATGTTTTCTCTAGAAAGGACACCCTGGATAGAAAAGGTCTGGTCGCGGAGAAGAAGGAAGTCGAGGGCCTTGGAAAGCTGGCGCTGGGTGTGAATGCGGCCACGGAAGTTGACCTCGGTGCCGATGGGCAGCGAGTCCAGCTCGGCGATGGTGTTGAGCTCATACGGGTGCGTCGGCCAGTCAGAGCCGCTGCTGCGCACGCTGTCAAACGACGTGGTCGAGTTGTCCATGCTGGATCGCGGAGAGCCCTGGGCCGACCTACGACCGCCTCCCTCGTTCATCGACGCCAGAATCTGGCGCGTAGCCTCGCTGTGGACGGCCGGAGCAACGGGCGAGTTGGGGATGGACAGGGACGAAGCCACCGGGGTGGCAGAAGAAGTGGGCGTGGCACTCATCATGTACTGATGGTAGCTGTTGCGGTTGGAGCTGATGCCGCCATACGCCTTGGGGAGATGGTCGCGAGGCACGGAACGATCAGGGCTTGCTCGCCGGCTGCTTCTCGTGCTGTTGGAGCGCAAGGGGAGGCCAAAGGCCGATAGGATGGGGGAGTTTCTCCCGCTATCGGTGCCCGGCATGGTGGTGGATAGATATAGATATGCCGGTAGATGAAGATGACGAGCGTCTCTTGGACTGAAGGGAACTGAGTTCCGTTGGTGACGGAAGTACTAATAAGGACGCACGAGTAGCCCCTGGTTTATCGCCGCCCAAAGCCCGCGGAATCGCTGAATTGATTGGCCGGTTGAGTTGCAAGTTGCGCAAGGAACGAAGGAAGTGTGTGGCAGCGACAACTGGGTGTGCTGTGCTTGTGTTTGGCCGTCCGGAGCTCGCGGGGTTGCTTGGCGGGGTCGCAATCAGTCCAGAAGAGCAGATGCTTGCTGCAGCTGACTGGGGCTTCTCTAATTGGTGCGGCGCTACGGTTCCCCTTCTGGAGTGATGATGTTATCGAAGCCCCTGCCCTGACGGCTTTTGCGTCGTTTTTTTTTTTTCGCCTTCGCTGCGATCGCTTCACTGCAATGACGTTGGACTGAATCACGACAGGATTCGAGGCGAAAGCTGTCGAGTGGTTGCTGGGGGGATTTGATTTTTGATTCGCCGGCGGCAGCTATTTTTGGCTCTTCTGGGAATATTAACCGGTAGTTGATACTGTATCTCGGAGGGAGGGGTGGCTAGCACCAGAAAGAGTGGGAGCAGAGGCAAAGTTGAATGTTGAGATTTGATGGATATGTTTTCCTTATGCTCTGGGGTATTTCATGCGCGCGAGTCAACGGCAGGATGGAGAGATGAAAAGGGAGGAGGGGAGGCGGCAATGGCTCTTACTGAGGCTGCTCAAGCCTTATATAATACAGCCAGCAACTTCAAAGAGGGTGCAATGCAAGCGTCTCTGACCGGGGTGACAAAGACAAGAGAAGAAAGAAGAAAAAAAACTCGAATCCATCGATGCCAAATCACAGACTCAGCAGAGACGCAAATGGCCGGGTGCCGAACCGAGCTACGAGGCCGCGACTTGCCCACTCCAACTCCTCGGCAACGCTCGTGAACTGAGGCACTACTACGGAGTATACTAACCTGACAGTAACAGTCACAGTTCACAGGTAACCCAGATCTCCACCACCTCGACTTTAGACTCCGCCCGAACCCGACAGCCTATCCGCCTAGCACGTTGGACGCGGAATTCTTGGTGTCATTGGGTGGCAGGCGAGAGGGGGGAACCGGTGTTAATTGGCGGTTGGGGGTGCCATTTCATGCCATCAAATTAGTTAGCAATTATCTAAGCGCATGCATGCAGGATTTTGCGTCCACAGCAAGGTTCAATGTTGCCAGGATCCATGGATCTCTCTCTGTTTTTAGGGCCCTGGTTGGCGGCTGGCCTGTGAAATTCTCCTCCGTTAGCTCGCGCTTTCGGCCGGCACTGCTGCTAGGCATTTTCCATCCCGGCGTCACACGACGGATTCAACGCTGTGCTGAGGCGACAATCGGGCAGCCGCATTCAGCGCGCGGGCGACGGACTCTAGATAGGGCGCGAGAGGGCAGATGTAGAAACCGGCCTTGCTTGGGGTTCCCCCCAGCTGAAACCGCTTTGCACATGATGAATAATACGGGTGCATACATGGGGGAGGTATCAGCACATATGCAGGTGAAATTCTACAGGCCTGCATGGCCCCATGATGTAATTGAGTCTGAGTTCTCTTGTGCCTCTGCCTCTGCCTCTGCCTCTGCCTCTGCCTCTTCAGTCCTCCCTGATGGTACTCGTACATACTCGTAGGTTGGAATCAAGTGCCAGCATGGACCGCTCTCATGGGTACCTTTGCAGTGTGTACGCGTACCTGGGAAGACGCCGCGGCTGCGAATTGCATCGCTAGTGCTGGCATTGGTGGTATTGGATGGTGAGTGACATTTTGCAGAATTTTCTTCGGGTGCCGCCTAAATCCTCGTATAGTGCACACAGCACATACGACCTCAGTACAGTACAGTATGAAGCAGTCACACACCAACTTGGAATGCTGACATGAGAGATTTGCGAGCTAGCCAACCACAGGCCAGTCAGAGGACTCAGAACATCTGCCGGGCGTTCTTGATCTCTGCGCTACTCAACACTTGCAGCGCAACAAGGAGAATCCTCTCAAAGGCTGCCCCCTATGCCTTATCAGGGCGTTTGCTAGCAGCGCTGCTACTGGGCAGGATTTGCCTGTTTCGCCGCCGAGGTCGGGCACCTTGGTAGTTCAGTCCAGTCTATCGCGTGGGATGAATGAATACACGTTGATGTCAATATTCACGCATGTGTTACATACAGCACACACGATAATCATTCAAGCAACGCACTCAGCAGTCTGCATTCGGTGTTTGGGCACTCCTAGTGAAATGCCATATAATGACGTCAATCTCTGTAATTGCGTACGTGCAAGACTCCCACAAGGCCAAGACGGGAACCACAACAAAAGAGACACATGGGAATCTGCATCGATGCACGGGCCGGCCATCGCGCGATCAGGTCGCCAAGCAGGCCATCATACTAATGAACAGGTCCAGGTCCAGGTCCAGGTCCAGGATCTTTGTCTGCAGCTCAACCAAACCCATCCGACGTCATGGCAGGTCTGTGCTCGCTTTTCCAGCTTCTTCTACGGAGCCCGTTGCCGGACCCATGCAAGGAATTACGGAGTAGCCTCTCCGTTGTTGCTGGGGGTTGCTGCACTGCTACCGCACTGCATGTAATAGTATCGAAATGCTGATGGCGTCTGTTGCCCAGCTTTCTAGAAGTTCGCATCTCGTACTTGGAAGACGGCCAAACTGCAACTTAACAATGGACTGTGGCTGGCTCAACAAAATCTGCCCAACCCTGAACCCAACTGCCTCGTTCCATCATGGCCCAGCGCCAGATCATACCTAGTTACCACCAACACCAACCTCTTGCCTCCTCAACTCCTCTTCAGCCCGTCCAAACCACCAAATACGAGCAGCGTCCCCCAAAGAAGCTTTTCGGTGATCCCAACTCTGCTAGCGCCAGTCCCGACGCTGCCGAACCCGCTTCCGTCTCTCATGTCGCAGCGTCTCCACGAAATAGATCAAACCATCCCACCAGCTATTAGTGATTAGTCCGTTGTTGCAGCCAATTGAGGGTTCCATGCAAGCCTTTTTCTTCCTTTTCCTCTTTTACCTCCGTAGGAAGTCCGCACAGTAAGTTAGGCTCTATTATGTGTGCATCTCGCGGGTGGCCATCCTCACACTCACACCTCAACGATAGTAGGGCCGTTGGATACCTTAAGTAACAACTTAGTAATAAGCCCTAAGGGGGGGAGCCACTTGGACTCGTAGAAACAGGGCAAAACGATGCGGTACCTGCCAGTACTCCGCATCCCCCAACGTACATGTATATCAACGACCTCGGGGTACCGATGACGCGTTATCCAGACTGCAGAAGAACAACCGCAACGTGGCAAAACACAGCGCCGACGGTTCATCATCGCCATCGCAACCAAGTATCGCTCAGTACCTCATCTCATCTTGCCCTTTTCCATCTAGAATAAGCCGTACCTTTTCCGTGCCTCGTGCGCCACCACTCATCTGATCAAAACTTTTTCTCCTCTTCCTTTTCCAATCTTTCCATCTCACCGGCACTGGCTTCGCTCCACGCCCCTCTCCCTCCATTCACCCCGCCAGTCTCATCTCATCCCCAGCACAGCCAATCCGCGTTCGCCCAGCCTTTCCGCAAGTCTGCCTGTATAGCAGCCCAAACCGTCCTTTCTCTTGAAATAGATTCGAGGCGGATGACCCTGAGCGCGCCTCCCACATGGAGATCGTCCCGGAACCCATCAGGAAACCGACAGTCCCGGAGCCGGATGACTATGTCAACCCCTTGGAGGCAAGTTCCCGCTGGACCCTGAATGCGCGTGCTCAGGCCATCCGCTATGCCTCCAGCCTCGGCTTCAGCATCGCCAACCGCACTGAGCCTGCCGCACCCACGCCGTCCACCGAGTTCTGGGTTGACTCGACGCTCGCCGAAGCCAAGGGCCCCAAGAAGATCCGCGTCGAGGTCTGGACGCCGCCGCGCCTGGCCATCGGGCCTCGTGCCGCTGTCGTGGCCCTTCACGGGGGTGGATGGATTCTCGGCCAGGGCACCGACAATGCGCGCTGGGCATGCGCCGTCATGACCTCGCTGGACGCCGTCGTCTTCACTGTCAACTATCGCCTGGCCCCCAATTACCCGTTCCCGACGCCCATTGAGGACTGCGTCGATGCCATCTTGCAGATTGCGAAACGAGCCGCGCAGTTTGGCATCGACCCCAATCGTATGATCCTCTCGGGATTCTCCGCGGGTGCCACCACGGCCCTCTCCAGCTGGCTCATTCTGAAAGAGCCGGCGCGCTGGAACTACACGCTGCCATTCGCCGTCCCTCGCATCACCGGCCTCGTGCTCTTCTATCCCGGCCTGGACTGGACAATCAACCGGGCAGACAAGAGGCTTAGTTGCGCCCGTCCCGATCTCACGCTGTCCAAGGGCCTGACGGACCTCATCGATGCCTCTTACGTCTATCCTGCCATTCCTCGTCATGATCGCGCCGACCTGAGGCTCTCCCCGGGCCTGATGTCGGATGAGCTCATGAAGAATTTGCCGCCCATCCACTTGTGCTTATGCGAATATGACATGCTTCTCGCCGAGGGTCTCCGCTTCTCTGAAAGACTAAAGTCCCTGCAGAAGACGGTAACCGTCCGCGTCGTCGCAAAGGAAAAGCATGCATGGGACTGCCCCCCGCCAATGGTGCAAAAGGAGAGCGTCGAGGTCGAATATGGAGAGGCAACGCAGGCCATTGCCAATTGGCTGGGCCAGGAGCACGACACGGACAGGGAGTCGATGCGGTCCATGAAGACGAAGCGTCTGCGGATCCCCCGGCCTAGCTTCATGGGTCTCAGGTCGAAATCAACAATAGGCCCTTTCTGAGTACTCTGTACTGTCCTTTTGATTTCACTTTTCCTTGATTGGAAGCCTGCAGCGTTTCGAATTTTTCTTTTCTTTTCTTTTTTTCCCTTTTTTTCCTTTTTTTTTCACCATCCTCTCTGATTACCTCAGCCTTTTCGTGTGCTGGGTAGACAAGAATTAGTAGACAAGACAAGAGATGCGTGCATGGGGCAAGGCTACACCCAGGAGAATGCTACTGTATTTAGCGAATGGTTATTACTGGCGTTGGGGCATGCATAGAAGCGGCGAACTGGAGAAACCCGTGTTTATACGATATAAACGGGAAATGCCTGACAAGATTTCAACGTTAAATTTTACTTCCTCAAGTTTTACTTCCCATCTTATTTACAAAAATTGAATATACTCGATCATCTTATGTCATCACTAGCCATTCTTTAATCAACTCAAAGTCTATAACAATATAAGACGAGAGATGGAGCAGGTTGTCTCACGCCTCTCATCGCCCACCCCCCTCATTACATCTCTTCCTAATGCAAGCTGCCGGCGGTCACATCCGCGGCGTTGAGCATGAATAGCCAATCGAATCAACACTTGAACTTAGCTTTAGCCCTTTCACTTCACACTTCCACGGGAGCCGGAAGTCGAAGTGGATTTTGAGTGCCTCGATGCGGGTCGAGCACGTGGATTAAAGGGTTCAATGCCGGCTACGGGGGGGATCGATTGGTTTGTTTTGCTTGGCACGATTCGCCGGAAGGGCGCCTGACTACAAAGTAACCTTCATGAGTTAGTTATATGGGGTGCTGCTATTCGTTGCGGCACAGTATGATATATAGTAGAGGGGGGTGGGATTTTCTGGTCTGGGAAGCTATTTTTGTGGTTGCTCGGCTCGGAAGGTTCGGATAGGCTATGCGGGATCACGGGGGGGGGGATGAGCACGAGGTGGCTTGATCATGTCGCGTGTGATTTTGGAAGTCAAGTTAAGAAGTTTGGGGATTTGATGGAAGGAATGCGGGTTAATTAGAGTGCTGACGAGATTGGGGTGGCTTGAAGGGACGATGTGCCGGAGGATGGGGGGTGGTTTTTTGAAAACGTAGATGGAGGGGGGTGGTTATTTGGTGGTTTTGGGGTTATACGGCTTTGAGATGATTCACGTGGGGGAGGGGAATATAGACACATGATGCTATCGATGGCTGTGATGGAAGGGATTCCTGGATGGGTGATTTGTTTGGATGATGTGGGTGAGATGTGTGCTAACCTGGAGGATGGTGATGGTGGAGATGGCTGCATTTTGACTATGGGCTTTGAAGAGGCGATGGGTGTGGCTGTTTTTCATTGGGGTTTTATTGTAATAATTTACTGACGATTTAATTTGATCTTATTTGCTGTGTTATATGATGGTGATGGGGATTCATGTGGAACAGTATCTACCTATATGTAATTTGTATGGATAACGTGTGTTAACTTGCAGTGTATCATCAAGCCAATGGACGGACTTGTATCACACCGTCTATACTGAACAGGCATTTACAATCTTGAATCCAAATTTCTAGTCAAAATCATTTTTTCTACAATGTGGTTAATATTCTCCGTCATATGATGCCATATCCACGCTTGCCGGTATCTGGTATTCTGGGGCTAATCACCATTATGCAGTTATAATTACTATCAATGCCGTATTTTACGAGATATAGATAGCACCTGCCATTGAGTCCAAGTCTCTTTTACATTGAAACAGTGTGGAAAAAGGTAGATACGCTACTCGTTAACCATAGACTTACAGTTACTTCGCCTACATCTGTATAAGTCGAGGCAGAACTTGGCCAGAGCTGCACAATCAAGACTCTTACGCGACAAGCACCAATCCACCACCAAGTGCTCGCCAGATGCGTAGCACAATGATAAACTTGAATGTCACAACACTTTTAGGCATTCAACAGTACCACTATAATGTGTTGTATCAAAAGGCGCGCAGCTTTCAATTCATCTTCAAGACGCTAGTATATTTGACCCAGCTAATAATAAGATATACTCGCCTCATGTCGTTCCTTCGTAAAATTACTAATATGTACTAGAACGTGCTAACAAGGCCGCTTGCATGCCAGCCAAATTTACCACTTAGCCTCCTTGCTCTCAACAAAGCCCTTCAGAATGCCGACAATCTTCTCCAGAGCGGCCAGGTAGACCCTCAGGTCGGAGGAGACCTTGTCCTGGTCAGCTCCGAGTTTGGTATAGAAGTCGGCGCGGTAAGGGCAGGCGCTCATGGCAGCGCTGAAGACGGGCTTGATCAGGAAGCTGTGGTGAGGCTTGAGGGTCGAGCCATAGGCGGTTCGGAAAGAGTCGGCAAGCTCCTCGGAGGGGTTGGCGACGTTGGCGCTGAGGGCAAGGCAAGTAAACTCGAGACCACTGATTCGGGAGTCCATGGTTAGCAACACGGCTCTTCAAGCGGGAAGGACAAGGTTAGGTTACGTACCGGACAAGCCACAGGAGACCCTCGGTGGCAGTGTGCTTCTTGGTCTTGAGCTCGTTGCGGACGAGGTCCTGGATGTTATCAGACTCGGCGGGGGCGGCGAGCTGACGCTCACGGAGTTTCTATGCGTGAAACAAACACGTCAGCTACTGAACATGCATCCAATTGACCAGCCACTTTCCAGATGGACTTGGGAGCCCGACACCTACCTTGACGTTGCCCAGCATGTCGTTCTTGACAGGGGAGAAAGCAACAGAGCCGAGAACATCTAGACGAACAGAATGGTTAGACACAAAGCTCTTCCCGGAGCATTGGAGCGAATGGACGCAGCAGCAACCTACCAAACATGGTGGTCAGGGACTCGGCAGCATCGAGGAACTGGGTGGTAGCAATGGCATTGCCCTTGTCGGCATCAATGGGCACGTCGACAAAGGACTGCTTGAAGGTGTGGACGATGGTGGCGCCCTCGGGGATGGCAAGAGCAGACATGATGACTTGATTTTTGGTGTTTCTTTTCCTTTTTGTTTTGGAATTCTTCTAGACGGGAGGGGGAAAATAGAGACGAATTGAAGCTGGGGGAGAAGAGACAAAAGTTGAGTATCAGGTCGTAAGTCGGTGAATGCTCGACATTGTGCTTGGGAGCTGGTGGGGGCAAGAGGCTCAGGTGGGGTTTTGGCCAGGTGTCTCAGGAGAATGCGAGAAAGGGGTCAAGGGTCAGGGAGATTTACGGGGCGGACCGGGATGTACCTTTGCGTGGTTGGGTTGGTGAAGAGGTACCTACTTGCATGCTAGGTACAGGTACCTACCTAGGTACATGAAACCATTCGATATACGAGGTTTGGCTGCTATGCTTTGCTTGAATTCAATTCAGTAACCTGTTATAAAGACGGTGAGGATTTGGGAGGCTGGGGATTTGTAATTGTATTCCATAGTACCCAATGTGTAGAGATGGTACTTGCATGTAGCTCGGTGTACGCAATGCCGTTCAAGTAGGTATTCCACCATCAATGCTTGAATCAGATACTTGAGGGCTCGCCAATTGGAACACGTCCGTCGTGCTGCATGTGCATGTACTCCGCATTTATCGAGGCATGGCATTGGTTTCACCCGATCGCTGCCAGTGCTTGGAGGCTTACATAAGGCAGCGTCAGGCCTCATGGCAAGGCCTCGGTGGATCTTCTTACGCGTCCGTTGAACACATGTGAATTATGATCAAACCCGTTTACCCGTACGAGTACGAGTATATGTCACCACACAGTTTCATCGTCTTGGAATTGAAAACAGCGGCAGAGAGATCCCCCTTTCCTGTTATCATGTTCAAAGTCGGAGGATTTACAGCAAATCTCCATCTAATTTTGCCTCCATCCACACGTGCCTTGCGCATGGCTTGAGGCATCTCGCTTCGATGCAGCTAGCTCAGATCTTCCGAGATTCAGCATTCAAACAATGAGATCCATTCGCACCCTCTAACATTATTCATATAACCTTGGTGAAATACTAAAGCAACAACTAAACACGAGGGGACAAAGCAAAACAATCAATCGCATTGGTGGCTACGTCACTGTCATCTTGTCCAGCTGCTTTTTCATTTAGGTAACTCTCCAGGGTCCTTGATGGTCATGACGTCACGATTCTACCGCTGCAATAAGGCAGCCCCTCCACTCAATCAGCCTCCATCCGAAACCTGCCAAACAAATATTCGGTGTCACACAACCAAAAAAAAACTTGAATAGTTAGCCAAGGTCATGTCAATGCATCAATGCAACCGAATAGACTTAGCTGACGGAAATTGGCTTTGCATTAGCTGCCCATTTCACCAATCTGGAGCCACGAATCTCTGCTTTCATTCGATATCAGCCCCGTGGCGCCGCCAACATCTGCCTCCAGCTGCTCTCCCCCCCTCAAAGAAAGCTGTGTTACCCGGTGATGTGCAGGGTTGGTTCAGCTAGCTCTCTTCGGGTCGATCCTTCGTCATGGTCTCATCCCGTCAAAGTCTGCTGAGCTTGGACCCCCGCTTCCTTGATGGCCTCGTCTTGGCATGGCCAGCATTCCAGCTATATAAACCTCCGGATATTGTGCTCTATGAGAACCTCCCATGTCGTCATGTCCTCGTGAAACCATTGAATTGCTTTATGACCTTTGAATCGTCTTTTTTTTCGACGGCCGATTCCTCAGACTGTGACGTTCATTTCCAACTCGTGTCCTTGCAACGAAGCCCCTACGGCCTAACCAGTAGATTTATTCCATCATTTTCAGCAATCGAGATGGCGGCCCCAAAGCCCGCACAACATAGTGGACATGGCTTCCACGGCTTCATGGACAGCTTGAAGGGCAAGCTCCATGATTCCAAGCTAAAAGACGCCAAAGTAGCCGTATCAAACAAGAAGCATCAGATTGGAAAGTTTGGCAACCTGTTCAACAGGGACCACCGCCACGACGAGGCGCACGAGATTCGCTGCGATAACAAGAGGACCAAGATCTGCGCCTCCCACCGTTTCCAGTCGTATTTCCCCGAGCGCGAAGGGAACCTTGTCAAGTGGTATGTGGATGGGCGGGATTACTTCTGGGCAGTATCCGTCGCTTTGGAAGAGGCCAAAGAAACAATCTACATTGAAGACTGGTGGCTCTCGCCAGAGCTCTTCCTGAGGCGGCCTCCACACCAGAAACAGGAATACAGGCTCGACCAGATTCTGAAACGAAAAGCAGAACAGGGAGTCAAGATCTATGTCATAGTCTACAAGGAGGTTGAAGCGGCGCTTACTTGCAATTCCGAACACACCAAACATGCCCTGCAAGCGCTCTGCCCAGAAGGCACTCCCGGATATAACAACATCAACATTATGCGGCATCCGGACCACAATGTGCTCGAAAATGCGGCAGATATGACAATGTACTGGGCTCACCATGAAAAGTTCATCGTCATCGACTATGCGATTGCTTTCATCGGCGGTCTCGATCTCTGTTTTGGGCGATGGGATGCTCACCATCATCCGCTGTCAGATATTCACCCGGATGAAGTGAAGTCAGAGGTTTGGCCCGGCCAGGATTTCAACAACAATCGAGTCATGGACTTTCAAAAGGTCCAGGATTGGCAAGACAACGAACTTAGCAAGGCGGATTACGGCCGGATGCCCTGGCACGACGTCTCCATGGCTGTCATCGGCCCTTGCGTGTATGATATCGCTGAGCATTTCGTTTTGCGGTGGAACTTTGTCAAACGTGACAAGTACAAGCGCGACGAGAGATTCGACTGGATTATACTAGAGGGCCGTGAAGGCGAGGACGAGGATTTGATCGGAGTACAGCGGCCAAAGTATCCACAGGGTGACTATCTCAGACACCCCCTGAACCCTCTGAGCACCAAGAATCTGCTCGGTCGAGGCACTGTTAATGCCCAGATCGTCAGATCCAGCGCCGACTGGTCCAGCGGGATCCTGACAGATCGATCCATTCAAAACGCATATGCAGAGGTCATTGCCACTGCGGAACACTACGTCTATATTGAGAACCAGTTCTTCATCACTGCTACCGGCGAGCACCAATCCCCGATCCACAACACCATTGGCGCGGCCATTGTTGAAGCCGTGGTTCGAGCAGGAAAAGAGGGCCGGAAATTCAGGGTAATTGTTATTATCCCTGCCGTTCCGGGGTTTGCAGGCGATCTTCGAGACAATGCCGCCTCTGGCACAAGAGCCATCATGGACTACCAGTACAAGTCAATATGTCGAGGAGAGCACTCCATCTTTGAGCAGGTCAAGGCTCAGGGAGTCGATCCCACCAAACACATCTTCTTCTTCAACTTGAGATCCTATGACCGCTTGAATAAGACTCCGGCGATTCATGAAGCGGAGCGGAAGACGGGCATCAAGTACCAGAAAGTCCAGCGAGCTCTTGCCGAAGAGATTATGGGCGAGGGAATCCATGGGACGTCTGATCCGATAGAGAACGAGAGAGACAACCACATGGGACAAGAAAAAGAAAAGGAGAAAGGCCGCAACGAGGCACTGCAAGCAAAGGAGATTTTTGAAAAGGCCAAACCCAAGGAAGAGGTCCAGACATCGACTTCTGTGGCACACCACGCCATGGCCGACCAAGAACCCTTAGAAGACGAGCCCTGGGCAGACCCGGAGTCCGAAATCAAGAACTGGATCCAAGAGGAGCTCTATGTGCATGCCAAGCTGCTGATTGCCGACGATCGAGTGGTGATTTGCGGCTCAAGCAACCTCAACGATCGCAGCCAGATGGGCAATCACGACAGCGAGCTGAGTATTGTCATGGAAGACAGCAATATCGTCAGAACGACTATGGACGGAAGGCCATTTGAAGCAGGATACCATGCGACGACATTGCGACGATTCCTTTGGCGAGAGCATCTCGGTCTTTTGCCCCCCCAAGACTTTGATGCCAAGGACGATATCAACGCACAGCCCCCTAGTGTCGAGCCCAATAACAACGTTTACGATAATGACGAGAGTTGGAAGTTTGTAGAGGATCCGCTGGGTGACGAGTTGTGGGATCTGTGGACAAGTCGAACAGACAAGAACACGGAGCTCTTCCGCCACCTCTTTCACGCCGATCCAGACGACCACAGTAAGTTTTAGGAGCAAATGAACAAAAAGCGCAAGTAGCACAAGCTAACCACGAGAGCTAGTCAAAACGTTTGACGACTACGATCGCTATCTGCCGCCCAGAGGCGTCAAGTCGGGGCACATTTTCGACCAGTTCATGCCGCCCGAGGAGGCGAAGAAGAAGCTGGCGCAGATCAAGGGGCATCTGGTGTGGATGCCGATGGACTTTTTGAAGGATGCCGAAATGGCGGAGCGGGGACTTCAGGTGAATTCGTGGACGGAGAGTGTGTATACTTGAGTGTCGTCTTTTGTTTTCTTTTGTTGTTATTGCTTAATAGGTACCTTGTCGATAGGGCCGCTGAGAGGGAAGCACTTGAAGTATCACCACAGGTAATGAATGATAAAAGACGAGAGCTGTAATGAATGAATGGGTATTGATTATCCGTCCATCCATCCATCCATTCATGAAATTTATGCACCGCGGCGCCTAAACCGTAGCTTCAGCCACATCGATGCATCATCGACCAATGCTTGCGGATTTCGTGCATCTACCAGAAACTCCGTTGCCGAAGCGCGGCCGCATATTCGGTCGCATCAAGCAAGGGGGTGGAAGGACAAGCGAAGCGAAGCCCTATGCGAGCAAACTCCCCAAGGAAGGTAAAGTAAAAGTCAAGTAGGTAGCAGCAGAAGTCCTTTTTTGTTGCTTTGTTTTTTTTTTTGTCACAGGCCAGTCATGTTACTCGATGATGGGCGTGAAAAAAAAAACGAGATTTGGGATACACCAGTAGCGGCTTGCGCTTGGGGACTGGAAGCGCCGGCGGTGGTGGCCAATGGTAGGGGCGAGATGGTCACATCACACGCATAAGCTTGGGTGACATGAGGGTTGATATGGGTGATGGAAAGGGCCGGTTGTTGACTCAGAGGGGGATATTTCGCTTTCCCCCCCTCTTTTTTGGATGTTTGAATGGGATTCTTGAATTTTGGGAAGTGGTTGGTTTTGGCGGGAGGTGAGAGTTGAAGGTGTTTGTGTGATGAGGATGAGGATGAGGATGAAGTTGAGTCGGTGAAGGTTGAAGCCGAAGAGTACTAGGCAGATGTCGGTGGGTGTCTTTGAGAGACTTGATTGAAAATTGACAAGGATAAAGAGGTAGAAGCGGAAGAAGAAGCACAACACATTATACGGCTTGGTAGTTGAGGCTATACTCGTACATCCTTGTCCCTGAACCCTTGTTTCTTTGATGGCCAAGTCGTCGGCAGGATTTGACAGCCAGCGGCCAACTCACCCAGACCCTTCAATTCCAGGTATAGAATGCATCCGCCGATATTCCCATTCACATCTATATATATATATATACATATGTATGTATTATGATTCTTTTTCTGTTTCAGCCTCTCCGTCTCCATGCATGTCGGCCCGTCAATGTGGTGTCTTCAGCAACCTGCAGGAAATGCTTGATTCATCCATGCTGGTCCAGGGGACCCCCCGTCCGCCATCAGCCGCTGTAGCGCCCCCGCAGTGGCTCTGGCTACAGCGGTCTAGCAGTACCTAACAGTACCTAACAGGCGCCGAGCCCCACGTTCGTTTGCCCAAACCCAATCCAGCGGCTATTCCTGAGCCGTCAATGGCATCACCAGAGCAAGCCCGGCAAATCACCAGTTGAGTCGTCCGTCCAATGCCAAAAGCCCTGGGCCTGGCTGCTTCTTGAATTACTGGTTGCTTTAGGCTTTTTTTGTTCTTCTCTTCGCAACGTTGATTTAATTTCATCTACATATCGTGCATCAAGCAATTCTACGCATCAACTCCATCGACCCAGATTGCTGCCCTCTGCTCTCTGTCTTCTGTCGTTGTCGCAGCTACATGTACATACAGATCAAGCAGAGACCCCGCTTCAGAAGCCAAATCCAACGACCACGAGATACAAAGGCAGAGGTGTCACCAAAGCTTAGGTCACAGCTACCTACTAAACTAATCTTACGTTGGCCTCCACACAACACAGCTCGAGAACACGCAAGGCTACTACGCAAGCCTCTTCGCCATCGACCTCGGGCTCCCCTTCAAGGCTTCGACCCGGCTGGGCATACAAACGGCACCGCTGCTTACAGCTCTCCCACTCGTTCGTTTCTCTCCGCCACTTGTGCCGCCATCTCGTTACTCCTCTCCCCCTCTTGCCAGCAACCAGCATTCCGATATCCCTCTCGTCAAGCTTTGTCATCGCACCGCGCTGCTGCATCCCGCTGGCCGTCTCTGTCCTCCGCGCCGCCGACGCGCATGCGACCTGCTGGCCGTCTCAGCCTTGGCCATTGAGTGTCCCGCCAGTCGCACAAGATGACGCAGTCCCCCATGATAGCCGCGCCGCCCAAGGCCACCAACGAGATCGACTGGGTCACGCCTCTAAAGTCCTACATCCGCGACACCTACGGCGATGACCCCGAACGGTATGCCGAGGAGTGCGCGACGCTCAACCGCCTGAGGCAGGACATGCGAGGTGCGGGCAAGGAGAGCATCACCGGGAGGGACATGCTCTACCGGTACTATGGACAGCTGGAGCTGCTGGACCTACGCTTCCCCGTGGACGAGCAGCACATCAAGATTTCCTTTACATGGTGAGTCGCCTTGCTGCAAGCAAACATGTTGGATATACGCATCCGCCTGGGAGATGCTATGCTGATAACAAATCTGTCAACAGGTTCGACGCATTCACCCACAAGCCTACGACGCAGTACTCGCTCGCATTCGAAAAGGCGTCCGTCATCTTCAACATTTCGGCTGTTCTTTCCGGCCACGCTGCCATACAGAACCGAGAAGACGATTCCGCACTCAAGGTTGCCTACCACTCGTTTCAAGCGTCGGCCGGCATGTTCACCTACATAAACGAGAACTTTCTGCATGCTCCTTCATTCGACCTGAGCCGAGAGACCGTCAAGACGCTGATCCATCTCATGCTTGCCCAGGCGCAGGAGATCTTCTTGGAAAAGCAGGTCAAGGACCAGAAAAAGTCGGGCTTGCTGGCCAAGCTGGCATCGCAGGCTGGATATCTCTATGGGCAGGCCGTCGAGGGCGTGCAGGAAAACGTCACAAAGGCCATATTCGAAAAGGTCTGGCTGGCAATGGTCCAGGTAAGCTGCACAATTACCGAGGGGAATAGTTACCCTGCCTTCCGCATTGTTCTGAGTCGAGTATGCAACGAGATGGCTAATTTGGAACCAAAATCACACAACCACAGATCAAAGCCAATCTTCTCAACTCCATAGCGCAGTACTATCAGGCAGTGGCAGACGATGAGGCTGGCCAACACGGTGTGGCGCTATCACGACTCCAGGTCGCTGACGCACTGGCCAAGGAAGCTGACCGATTAGCGAAGAGCTTCCCCAGCACTGTTCCCTCCAATGCCAATCTCGGTGCTGACTGCAGTGCTCACCTACAAGAAATCTCAAAGCGACAATTGTCTGCGGTGCAGGAGCGGCTACGAGAGGCTATCAAGGACAATGATTACATCTACCATCAGACCGTTCCCCCGGAAGCGAGCCTGCCCCAGATTGCCAAGCTACCCGCCGCCAAGCCGATCCCGGTATCTGAGCTCTACGCGGGTCAGGACATCCAGCGCATCACCGGACACGACCTGTTCTCCAAGATTGTGCCCATGGCGGTGACGGAATCCGCGAGCTTGTACGATGAGGAAAAGGCGAAGCTGGTGCGGGCCGAGACGGAAAAGGTGGACACGGCAAACGGCGAGATGGCGGCCAGTCTGGACTATCTACGACTTCCGGGGGCGTTGCAAGTGTTGAAGGGCGGCTTCGATCAGGACATTCTTCCCGACGAAGACTTCCGGCAATGGTGTGAAGACGTTGCCAATCACGAAAACCCAGTGAGCATCTTTGACTTTTTGCGGAGCGAGAAGGAGTCCATAGTGTCTACTCTGGACAAGAGCTCCAAGCAGCTGGATATGGAGGAGAGCGTGTGCGAAAAGATGCGATCCAAGTATGAAAACGACTGGAGCCAGCAGCCCAGCGCACGCCTCACGACGACCTTGAGGGGAGATATTCGCAATTACCGAGAAGCTCTGGAAGAGGCCAGCAGGAGCGACGGCCAGCTGGCAGCGAAGCTACGCCAGAACGAAGCCTGGTTCGATGAAATGCGGGACGCCGTCGCAAACGGGCAAGTTGACCAGCTCTTCTCCAAGGCGGTCTCTCAGGCCAAGGGAAGGGGTAGCAACGCCGTCAGCCCATCCGGAAACGAGCCGAACCTGCTCGATGCCGACTTTGACGAATCTGGGCCGTCGGTCGTGGAGCAGATTGCAAGGGTCGAGGATATCCTCAAGAAACTCAATCTCATCAAGAGAGAGAGGAACCAGGTACTCAAGGATCTTAAGGAGAAGGTAAGACGATTTGTCTCATGATGCCGCAAATGTTGTTTGGAGACAGTAGACTGATGACAAACGAAAACAGATCCACACCGACGACATTTCACAAGTCCTTATCCTTAACAAAAAGACAATAGCAAACTATGAGCAGCAGCTCTTCAAGCAGGAATTGGAAAAGTTCAGGCCTCATCAGAATCGCTTGCTCCAGGCCAACCACAAGCAGTCGGCGTTGATGAAGGAACTCACGGCCACATTCAACACTTTGCTGCAGGACAAGCGCGTGCGGGCCGAGCAGAGCAAGTACGAATCCATCCAGCGACAGAGGCTATCGGCCATTGGCAAGTACAAGCGTGCCTATCAGGAATTCTTGGATCTGGAAGCTGGCTTGCAGAGCGCAAAGAATTGGTATTCGGAGATGAGGGAGACGGTTGAGAGCCTCGAGAAGAACGTGGATACTTTTGTCAACAACCGGAGGTCAGAGGGCGCACAGCTGCTCAACCAAATCGAACAAGAGCGAGCATCGAACAAGACGCAACAGGCAGAGCTGGAACGGGAACGGCTACGAGGCCTCATGGAGCGCATGTCGATGGAACCCGGGCAGCCAGCGGCACCTCCCAAGCCGCCCTCGCAGAGGCCAACACCCGCACCCCTGATGCAGAAACAAAACTCGAGCTCTCGGTATGGGCAGGGCAGCAGCAGCAATGGCTATCAGGGGCAGTTCCAGATGCCTACATCACCGCCACCAAACCAACAGAACTTTGCTGGTTACGCCAGCCCTCCTCCTCAAAGCACGTTTTCTCAACCTGTATATAACCCAAGCACATACGGCAGAAACCCCGGTCCGACATCGCCGCCTCCGACCCAGACCTCTTTCAGTATGAATGTCATGAGAGGCCCTCAATCACCGCCGCCGACGCAGACATCTTTCGCACAGCACCAGGCCTACAACACATATGGAGCGCTGCCTGCACAACAACAGCAGCCTCTACAGCAGCAACAACTCCCTCAGAGATATGTGCCTCCCGGCTTCGTCCCACCACCTCCTCCCCCGGGCCCTCCTCCTCTGGGCCCTCAGCAAACTATCCATTTCGGACAGCAGGACTATGATCCCACACAAAGCGCACAGCCTCGATCAGCTCAAGCACAGCAGACACATGATCCATGGGCTGGACTGAACGCATGGAAATAACGAACAGCAGTGTTGTTGATGAGTTTATCTACGCAGTGAATACCGCGGCAGTTGGTTGGATGATGATGTGAATACCTGGCTTAAAAAACACGCAGAAGAAATAGGGGCAGTTTGAAGGAAAATGTCATACTGCGGGACGGAAACTGACTGGGGGGAGAGGGTGTAAAAGAGACGGGCGAAGGGATAGAAGTATGTATGCTGACGGCATCAATAATATGTTTCTCTCTTTTCATTCTCTATCGTTGGGTATATATAGATGGCAGCAATGTATTGCGAGAAAATCCAAACGGCTGGGCCAGTGGTCTTATTGCTTGACCCCTAGTACTTTCTAATAGCTTGGCTGCCATTGTATGCAATGGGCCTGGTTCGTGTACAAGCATAGGTACATAAAACAGGCAGTAAACGTGCGTTATTCCCATGGTTTAAATGAAGCAGCCCGATAACCGGACCAAGATCCCCCGTGAAGAAGAAGAGTTGTGAAGCTTGGGCCCAAAGTTGGAGAAAACTGCGGAGCAGCCAAGCGTAGACCGAAACTAACTGTGCTTGGGCTCCCCGCAAAAACTCGGCCCCCCGAAATATTAATAGCCGGTGGGAGGCGTTTAATTCGACCGCTAGAGGGGGAGCGAACAAGGGGGAATGGAGACGAGGATGGCTGGGGCTTTTGTGGGTGTTGACTTGTGATTGATTTCTTTTGGACGATGGCTGAGATGGACGGTGGAAGATGATTGACCAAGCTGATGCGAATATTGCAACTAGATTGAATAGGTAGGTCTTGAATTGATGGAGATATCCGTCGGAAGGGAGAGTTGGAATTGATGCTGTCAATCTTCTGTTAGGCTTCGTGTTAGTGAAGCGAGGCCCTGGAGAGCCTGGGCAGCCACTGGACCGACCGACCAGTTTAGCGGACTGGAGTAATGGAAGCCAAACCCCCGCTAGTCAGAGGTGGCCTGGCTATACGATTAGCCGACGGCCAATGGTGAATCTCTAAATAAATCGTCCATCAGTAGTCTATCTAATCTATATCTTGCGACGACAACCGACAGGCGACGCGCGAGGACAGACTTTCTCCCTTTCTTCATTCTCCATCTTCATCTTGGTTATTCATCTGGCGGGAACATTAATTGCATTGTTTTGAAAGGAACGGATCTGGCGATTGGATAGTTTTCAATTGGCGTGCTTGCTTCTTCTCTTTCTTTGGATTCGAGCTTGGGGAATCCCGTTGATACCGACCGGCTTTAGGGACGTCATCGGCATCGGCATCTTGGCTCGTCAGCAGACACAAGAAGTTGTTCGATTCAAGGGCACACAGGGAAGAAGATGGTGCTCACGGGAAGCGACGTCGCCAAGCACAATGACGAAAAGTCATGTTGGGTGATTATTCATGTGAGTTCGCTCACCTCGATTCGATTGCTGGTCTGGATGAGATGGACTGACGCTGATTCTCTTTGATCTTCCCTCTCGTTAGGGCAAAGCATACGATGTCACAGAGTTCTTGCCAGGTATTTGATGAAACAGTTTTACATGTCCAACTCTTACTGACGTGGAATCTCATCATCAGAGCACCCTGGAGGTGAAGAAATCATTCTCAAATATGCCGTATGCCTCATGCACATCTCACTTTTGAACCCCCCCCTCATGTCATGTACTGACATCAACATCCAGGGCAAGGATGCGACAGAAGAGTTTGACCCGATTCACCCCCGGGACACTCTCGACAAGTACCTCGACAAGTCGCTGCACCTAGGCCCCGTGGACATGTCCACCGTTGCCCAAGAGGCCAAGCGAGAGGACCCCGAGGAGGTGGAGCGGCAGAAGAGGATAGCGGAGATGCCGCTGCTGTCGGAATGCTTCAACCTGCACGACTTTGAGGCCATTGCGCGGAGGACCATGAAGAAGGGCGCGTGGGGATACTATTCCAGCGCGGCCGACGATGAGATTGTACGTTTCCCGCTCTACCATCTCCCGGTCTCAAGCTGACATCACCCCAGACCCTGCGTGAGAACCACAGCGCCTACCACAGGATCTGGTTCCGCCCCCAGATCCTCGTCGACGTCGCCAACATCGACCTCTCCACCACCATGCTCGGCACCAAGGTCGACGCCCCCTTCTACGTGACCGCCACGGCGCTGGGCAAGCTCGGCCACCCGGAGGGCGAGGTCCTGCTCACCCGCGCCGCCCGCAAGCACAACGTCATCCAGATGATCCCCACGCTCGCCTCGTGCTCCTTTGACGAGCTCGTCGACGCCCGCCAGGGCGACCAGGTCCAGTGGCTGCAGCTCTACGTCAACAAGGACCGCGACATCACCAAGCGCATCGTCCAGACCGCCGAGCGCCGCGGCTGCAAGGGCCTCTTCATCACCGTCGACGCACCGCAGCTGGGCCGCCGCGAAAAGGACATGCGCCTCAAGTTCACCGACTCCGGGAGCAACGTGCAAAAGGGCCACAAGACGGACAACACACAGGGCGCCGCCCGCGCAATCTCGTCCTTCATCGACCCGTCCCTCAGCTGGGCCGACATCCCCTGGTTCCAGAGCATCACCAAGATGCCCATCATCCTCAAGGGCGTCCAGCGCGTCGAGGACGTCCTCCGCGCCGTCGAGGCCGGCGTCCAGGGCGTCGTGCTGTCCAACCACGGCGGCCGCCAGCTCGACTTTGCGCGCTCCGGCGTCGAGGTCCTCGCCGAGACCATGCCCGTCCTGCGCCAGCACGGCCTGGACAAGAAGATTGACGTCTTTGTCGATGGCGGCGTCAGGCGCGGCACCGACATCATCAAGGCAATGTGTCTGGGCGCAAAGGGCGTGGGCATCGGGCGGCCCTTCTTGTACGCCATGAGCACGTACGGACAGGCCGGCGTGGAGCGCGTGATGCAGCTGCTCAAGGACGAGCTGGAGATGAACATGCGGCTCATCGGCTGCGCCAAGATGGAGGACCTGCACCCTGGATTGCTGGACACGAGGGGTCTGTTTGTGCACAGCAACTCGACGCCGGTCGATTCGCTGTCACATATCACGTACGATCCCCTGGTTGTTCCCAGCCAGAGACTCAAGGCGAAGCTGTAGAGTAAGGGGGAAGATGTCTGGATACATAATCGTAGAGAGACCAAGAGCGAGACGGTGTATGATATAAACGAGCAAATATATTCCATAAACACACACACACACACACACAAGTCTAATCTACATGATCCAACGGTCCTCGCATTAGTTAGCACTCAGTATGTTCCTCATCACATGAATAATGTCCAACATCATAACAAGTCTTCATCCATCTACAGCATCTCCCCTTCTCAATCACAAACCGCTCAAAAACTCTCGCAGCGTCATCGGCTTCCTCACCGCATTATTCAACCCTTCATGAAACGTCACCCACACCTTCTCCTGTCCCGCCGCCTTCTTCTCCGCCAACCCCCCCGTCACCTCCGCCAGCGGCTGCGCCTGAATGATGCGTCCAAAGAAGTCCTTCTTCACTACCAACCCGTCTTCCACCACCGCCGCGTCGTCCTTCTGTGTCGACTGAATGAGTGGCTGCTGCAGCTCACCTTCGCCGGTGGCGCGTCCGGCTTGGAAGCGTGCTTGGCGAGCATGTGTCTCGCGGAGGGCGAGTGTACGACGGAGTTCTTGGTCGAGGACCTGGCGAACGGCGAAGCGGGTTGGGGGCTGGGATGTCAAAAGAGAGGCTGTTTCATAGGTAGCGAGGGAATCAATGTCACTATGAATTAGATGGTTAGCTTGTTCACCTCTATACGCAGGCTTGGTGAGATACCGGCAAAGGGGCTAAACTTACGGTTCCATGCGGTAGACAAACTGCGGGCCGCGACTAGACACGACGTCGCTCTCAATCTTGCCTTTATGCAAGGCAATGCCCACCTCAGCGAGCACTTCCGACGCCCGCTTGACCATTGCTCGCTCGCTCTCCTTTCGTACACTCGCCGTGGTACCCTGGCTGCCGCCAACGACGACGGGCTTCACATCGGGCGACAGCATGCGGGCCAGGTAGGGCATGAATTCCGTCGCCACGTCCTCTGCGCTGCGGAAGAGCCGCATCATGGTTGGGCTGAGCTGGGCTTGGAGTGCCTGCAGCTGTGCACGGGTTTGCTTCTCGGCTTCAAAGGCTTGGAAGTCGGCGCGCGGGCCGGAAAAGGGAATCGTAGGGCCGGCTTCTTCCTCTCCTGAAACGCCAGATCGCTGGTTGTGGTTTGATCCCATGCCGCTGGCAAAATGTCGAACGGGCGAGGCAAATAGATGGTGGCAGGCCAGGACAGGCTGCGCTAGGTAGGGCGCAAGTTCCCAGTCCTGGCTGGCGTACAGTTTGGACTGACAAGCATCGTGAAAATACAGCCAGTCATAGGCCTGGTTCGGCTTCGAGAGGTAGGAATCGTCGTTGAACTCGCGGTTCGGATACTCTGCGAATACCTCCGTGACAATATGACTGATTTCACCGCTGGAATCAACCATCTGTCGAAGACACTCCATGGCATACTTCTTTTGATGCTCTCCAAAACCAAGCTCCGTTTTTGGCTGTTCGTGATGCGTCTTCGACTTGGCTAAGCTGAGTGCTTGTTTGGGGAAGCCGCCGCCCTCTTGAAAGAGGCGGGAAATGATATCCTTGACGCTGCCTCGTCCAAGCCCTCGAGCCCCCGCCGAGCCGTTGGCAAGCTCTTGGAGGATGTTTCGTTCAATCCAGTCCCTGGTGAGGCGTTGGTTGTTATTCAGACTTGAGACCTTGAACCGGGAAGCCACCCATTCGCCCACGACCATGACACCTCGAAGATCACCTTGCACGGTGCTTTCTTGTCCTCGTTTGGCGTCAATGCCGCTGGCCATGCCCCATGCCGTTTCACACAGTTTGCGTGCTGCATCTTTGTCGCATGGAATGCCTTCCTTTTCAAATACCGTCTTTAGACGACCAACTACGGTGTCCAGTGTCGGTCGACCGACGTGAATGATCTCGGCCAGGTTCGACTGCCTGAGAGGTCTCAGAGATGGATGATAGACGTCGTTGCATATAAGAATCAGAGGACGCATCAGACGGAAATCGTCTCCTTTTTTCTTTTTCCCATCATAAGACTTGTTTACCCCTGAAGAGTTCTTCTGATCGATGAGGACCAAATCAATCAGGGCCTTGATGAAGCCACCCTCCCCTGAAGCGCCCGATCCCGTCACCACGCCGTCGACCTCATCAACCACAACGCAAGCAGGCTTAGCAACCTTCTGAGGCCCATTCAGGGCCTTTTGATTGCTTACATTCTTGACGCTTTCCGTTCCAAGACTGGTGCGAATTCGATTCTTGACAACGTCGCGACTGCGGTCATCACTGGCATTGACCTCTATCACTTCATAGCCCGCCTGTTTGGCGCAGACGTGAGCCAGTGTTGTTTTCCCCAGTCCGGGCGGTCCTGTCAACATCAAGATCTTTCGATGGGGCTTCTCCTCTTCAGCTTGAGAATGAGGGCCATTGCGTCTCTGGACTTTGGGTCTTGCTTTAGCTGTTCCGGGGAAAACCAACGGATCCCATTTCTTCAGCCAGCGTAGGACCAGTCTATTTGTGCTGTCGTCTCCGCACAGGTCCCTAAAGTTTCTCGCGCGGTATTTCTCGGTCCACAGCATCGTCTTTTTGGGTTTCCTTTCGGATATAGACGTAGCTTCCATGGATCGAATAGCCTGGTTGGTATTTGGAGATGGAGGGTTTTGCTGCTTCTCGGCCAATTCGCTCGTGGCTGTGTTGATGAGGTTGTGTATATCAACACCATAGTAGTCTCGTTTCGCCCGCCCTTCCTTTGTTTTCGACCTGGCCGCCACCATGGATTCGTAAGACTGCACAACAACCTCCTTGCGCTGCCTAATTGTAACCTCGCTACCTCCACATGTCTTTAGCTTGTAAGTAGTTTTTGAGCGGCTTCCAAAGATTGGCGTAGTAAGGAGTGAGTTTGGTTGGGACCAATGAGGCCCTGTCCGTGCCGCAGTATTCTGTGTATCTCCGGTGAGAGTCGTATGAATTGTTGTATGGTCGCCTGCTGGGTGCTCCACGGGGAGGATGTTGTTGCTGCCATCTCCATTCGCATCTCGAGCACCGAGGACGGGGATCTGTGGCCACTGCTCGTGTTGGACCTCTACTCTACGCCTCTTGGAAGGAGACCTGGAGCTTGCTCTGGGTCTATTCTCTGTGTCTGATTCGGAGTCGGAGTCCACAAACGGCCCGGTGACGCGAGGCTTCTGTGTAGGATATTGAATATCATGAGGTTTGGCGCGTTTCGTTGGAGACGGAGGGTCGCTCGGAAAGATAATTGGTGAGGATGCAGACAGCATTTTGGTGAGGTTGTTGGTTCAATGTTGAGAAAATAAAGAGACGCTCAGAATATACACAAAGAGAAAAAGGAAATCGAGAATGTCACCAGCCAAATCCAATGCAGGTAGAGTGAGCGATTGGCTTACAATTTGCAACACTCTATTACCTTACATAGAAAACTCTCGACGCGTCTCATTAAGGGAAGTGGGCTGGGACGCGTTGAGTGGCCCCGCTTTCGGTGGCTGCTCGGTGGCCTCGGTGAGCCGGTGCGGGAGCGTCACGCCGTTCGGCAGAATATCGGCTGAGTGGCACCACCAGAAAAAATGACACCCACATATCGAGCTCTAAAGAACGGCCTCAGTGATCCTGTCAAGCCGCAATTGTCACCGGTCGGCTCGCCAAGATGAGAAAGCCGTACCGTTTCTACAGTTTAGCTCGTCCTGTAAGTCTAGAGATATCTTGTCAATGGCCGTACTGCCAGAGCCACGGGCAGCAGTACGGGGATTGAGCTCGTGTGATGGCGGGGATCCTGGTTACTGATGATGAAAACCTTACAGAAATTGCGACAATCATGGAACAAGTACAACCTGTATAACCTGTACCGCCAGACAGGCCGAGAACCCCAAATCCGAGGCACCCCTACCTTTTTCCAGCAGAAATGGGCGGCCAAGGCCAAGACTCGATCGTATCACGGAGAGCACATTCCCGAGAAGAAATGGGTGCGGCTCTTCTCCCGTCGACTCCTCTCTGCTGTGGACATGCCACCAGAGTATCTGGCGGCGCATGATGGCTCCGAGCAGGCCGCCGGTCGTGGTTCCGGCCTGACAACGTCAAACGTTACGGCCGAGACATTCTCCAAGGTTCCCGCACTCAGCACTCAGGAACGCTCAAGGAGGAGACCGCTCTTTGGAGATGTGAACAAGCTGCTGTCGGATCAGTTCAACAACATGACGCCTTACATGCAGATGACATTTGCGCCTTTGGAGAGGAGGTTGGACACCGCAGTCTTTCGAGCTCTGTTCGCCAGCAGCGTCCGACAAGCGCGCCAATTCGTCATCCACGGTGCCGTCACTGTCAATGGAAAAAAGGTTTGTCACAGCTTTGTTTACGGTGTGTGTAGTTGTATATCGATGTACTGACGCTATTAATCAGATGGTTCACCCCTCTTATCAACTGAACCCCGGCGACATGTTTCAGGTGGACGTTGAAAAGGTCATGTACGGCACGGGCGTGCAGAAGGCAGCAGAGGCGCACAAGCGACTTCACGAGAACCTTGAGGCAAGACAAAAGAAGGCGGATAAAGCATTGCAGAATGCTGTGAAGAAGTTGGGCGGCAATGCTACCGCTGAGCAGGCCGCTGCTGAGGGAGAGGCTGAAGGCGAGAAGCCCGAGGCTGAGGCTGAGGCTGCCGAGGGTGAGACTGCCACAAGCGAAGACGCCGGATCATTGACTCCCGAGGCCCAATGGAAGTTGAACAACAGGGCCTTGAAGTTTCTGTTGAAGGATGTGAAGAAGATTTTGAAGAACAACACCAAGGAGCTCACTGCCAAGGAGAAGAAGCAGCTCCGTCTCTTCCGTGCAGATGCCAAGCGCTTCCTCTCACATCCTGAGAAGAGCGAGGCGGATGTTGTGGAACTCATTGACGAGTTGCAATTACAGATGAAGAGCCACGAACTGATGCGAGAGAGCTTTGAGAAGCTTGACCTGAAAGAAGGTCAGGCCCAAAGCCAAGTTGAGAATGAGGCCGAGGCCGAGGTTGAGGCTGTCCAAGCCACCTCAAAGGAGGGCGAAGCGCAGCCAGTAGTCAACAGAGAACGAGAGGTTGAGAAGGGTCTGGAGGGCCTATCAGATGAGCAAAAGACCAAGGCCAAGCGGATCATTGGCGATGCTCGGCTATCCAAAGAGGAGATGAAAAAGCTCGCCTGGCTGCTTAAAATCGACGAAGAGAATCCCGTTGACGACTCGAAACCATACGCTACCCCGTGGAGGCCCCGTCCCTACATGTCGGCGTTTGCCTTTATCCCCCGTTACCTCGAAGTCAACCCCAACATTTGCGCTGCCGTCTACCTGCGACACCCGGTCGCTCGCAAGGGCATGGCCGAGGTGCCGACACCTTTCAGCTACCTGACTAGTCAGCTTACCCATAACTGGTACCTCGAGCGAGGTTGAGGAGAGGGCGTTTAGAAATGTTTGGGATGGGTGGCGTGTATATGATGTATGACTCTGCGAAAGAGTGCGAAAAGGAGAAAGATTACAGTCCATGTAGGCTATGTATGATGATAAAAGTTGAGGCTGGGTTGGGTTTCCTCCCAGACCTCGGCAATGTAATAGTATATACAAAGGAACTATGATATGAGAGCTTGAACAGACCTGAGCCCCGATTGAGAATGCTTTTTCCGATCAATACCTGGTATCTATGAGGCGAAGAACGTAATGGGCACCAGGGAGGTGCTAGGGAGTAGCCAGCCACCTATTCAGGACCCCAGCGATTGCGTGAAGTTTGTATGGAACCGGCAGGCTGTTTATTTATGGGTATCAGCATTTGCTTTAATAAAAACTTGAAAATAATCCAGCTGAGTTCTTTTGGTATATGCTGTTATTACTACTTTCTGCTACTATAACGATATTCCTCTAGTACTACCTACCTAGTTAGTACCTTAGTAGTAGTTACTGCCACCGCTACATCTCTCTAGATTCCGCGAAAATAGCTATCGTTTTCGAGTATTTACTACTATAATAAAAATAAAATTCGTATCCAACGCTGCGGTAGACAGATAGTTACGAATGCAAGCTTCTTGCACCATCAGTGGCCTACCAGTTGGTAGCAATTGCAGACCTTGATCTGCGACTCCCATTGCCATTTTTCTTTCAATGTTTTGATCAGCTACTGCCAGGCGGACAATAGTTCATTTGTTAGATACTTGAATCCACAAACCTCCCTCCTCCATCCATTCCCCCATCCATCCATCCCTTTGTCCAACGGCAGACATATGCCGTCAGATCAGCTGTCTCTAGTATTTAATACCATTTGCGGCAAGTGATGTAGATAGCAAATAAGCTGCTAAATAGGCGTTCCCTTGTAGGTATTAGGTGCCTTATTAGGTAGTTTTATTCGTCTAATCAACGTTGACTATTGATTTATCATGCTCTCTTGCAACTTGAATCTTTGAATCTCTCTTTTAGATGCTGATTTACCTCTCTGTCTTGCGCCATTTATGTTGATAACATTTAACATACCTTGAGACGGGCCGAAACTCCCGTAATTCATACCTGTACCTATACTATTTCACACACCATCCCATCGTTGCTCACATGTGCCTCTTTTACTCCGTTAGCGGTCAACGGATAGCCATTTAAATATTAACCTTGAAAATCATCTTTAAAAGCTCGGAGAGATGGCAAAAAGTCCTCATCGCTAGTCCCAACGGGGCATCAAAGCTGTAGTTTATAATACAATTCCGGCAAGGTCGTGCTCGGTTTCGCCTGCCTCGCTCGCTTCGGTTACTCGCGCTGGAAGGAACGGCCGATGGCATGAAATTCTCCGCGACGAAATATGGGGAAAGAACGAGGCCCTTGCTTTATAATAACACTGCTTTATAATCGTGCTACATTTTGCATCAGTCCATCAAGTTTAGTTTTTTTTCCCAACCCTCTTGACTTGGTCTGGCCAATCCCAAGTTTTCGTCGAGGCCCTGTATTTGTCCACTTTTTACGTTTCCATATTATTACGGGAGAGAAAAGCAGGAATTTGGAGTAAATTGGACGCCGGCACGCCGACAACCGCCAGCGGCGTTTGAGTGAGTGAGCGAGTGCTTTTGCTGGGCTCTCATGTCCCCACTTTGTTACGATCCATGGATCATTAGAACCTAGCACCAGAGGTAAGTTGGTAGTTTGAACAATGCAAAGTATCCAGCGATTGAGTGCTTTTACCCTCCCTCGAGTCCTGCAAACTTGAAGGTCTAAATCAGGCAAAAGAGGGCGAGCCTCAAAGAAGCCGGTCCAGCCTTAAACCCCCCTTCTGCCGATCCCTTGGAAGCTTTAGGGACGACCGCCATTCCGGAACTCGCCACTAAAGAGTCTCGGCTTACAGCCCGGTCTCAAGGACCAAGAAGGGCCCAGCACCAATGGCTGATGCCGGATTGGTTTTGGAGCTGCAGCTGCGCGAGGCTTAAGGGCATTGCGGCGGCTGAGACCCGTATGGAGCAACGGAAGCCAGTTGAATCTCGAGGCGCATGTCGTCAGTCCAGTCACGCTCGCGGAACCTTGACTCAACTCTCGTCATCACACCCTTGCCGACGTTTTCCTCCTCTTTACATTCCGCTCCAGCCCCATAACCTCACTCTCAAACTGAGCGCGATTTTCGCCATTGTATATTCGTATAAGAATCTCCCTCCCCTGCTGCGCCGCCATCTCGCCCGTCCCGTTGCGCAGAGTCAATCTGATCTGGAGTCCCCCCGCATTCGTCTCATCCGTGGACAGCCCTCCGACCTCCGGAAGCGCCGAGATCAGCAACCGACTGCTGGATTGATTCAACATCGCAGCTGCAGGGTGTATCATGACAAATCACTAGAGGGCCGTCGACCAGACCTTTGCCCAGAGACTTGAAAGGCTGGGCGACTCCTCATCACGACATCCTCAGGCTGAATCACCAGCCACGGGCGATTTATCCAAGACATTTGTTCTGGAGCCATTCCGCCCTGCATTTCATCCCTGCAAACTCACCCCAGGGTCGATGTGAAGCCGCGCGCCGGCACCTTCAATGCTAGCGCTCGATTTAACGACTACACCTTGCACAACACAATCCCCATCTCGACTCTCTCCAGCCATAGCCGTAATTCCATTCCTCGCCCGCCATGGAGGGCATGGACCTGACTGCCGCCTCTTCCTCGGCCGGCTCGACGCCTGCTGCTCAGGCTAAGAAAAAGTCTCGTCGAGGAACCGACCCGACCACCCAGAAGCGAAGATGCATCAGCACCGCCTGTGTCGCTTGTAGGCGACGCAAGTCGAAATGCGATGGCCAGACGCCCGCCTGTGCCGCTTGCTCCAGCGTCTATGGCACCGAGTGCATCTACAACCCCAACTCGGATCACCGCCGCAAGGGAGTGTATCGAGAAAAGGTCGACAGCATGAAAGCCCAAAACTCGACGCTGCAAATCATTGTCGAGGCCATTTTGAATGCCGCCGAAGAAGAAGTGCCAGGAATCGTAAAGAAGATTCGAACATGCGACAATCTCGATTCGATAGCCCAGGAGCTTTTGAAAGCGAGTGAAGCAGAGCTCAATGAAGAAGACTTTGACGGCAATGTGGACGAAGCAGCCATGGATTTCCTACCCGTGACAGGAGAACGAGAGCTTGCCGGCAAGATGGGAGAGCTGCGGCTCGAAAATGGCTCAGTGCGCTTCATTGGCGGCACCTCTCATCTCATCTATCTAGGAGACCCTCACCACGATGGCATCGATTACGGTTCACCTTCTGAGCCCGGCATTTGCGAAAACCCCATCACGTCATGGACCCGAGTGACCACCGATCCACGCCTCATCATGCACCTCATGAACATGTACTTTAACTATCACTACCCATACTTCACCACGCTCTCACGCAAGCTGTTTTGGCGCGACTTCATGAGGGGCAAGGCGGGCTTGGCGCAAGGCACGGCGTACTGCTCCTCGCTATTGGTAAACGCAATGTTGGCGCTCGGCTGCCACTTTACCGATATCCCAGGCGCTTTTGGCATCCCCGGCGACAGCAGGACCAAAGGAGACCATTTCTTTGCCGAGGCCAAGCGACTCATCGTCGATAATGACGAATACGAGAAGCCGCGGCTTGTGACCGTGCAGGCTTTGGCACTCATGTCTGTGAGAGAAGCGGGCTGTGCAAGAGAGGCCAAGGGCTGGGTCTATAGCGGCATGAGCTTCCGAATGGCTCTCGACATCGGCCTCAACCTCGAGGTAGAGGGCCTGGATAGGGAGCACATGTCGGAGGAGGAAATAGATGCCCGGCGCGTCACCTTCTGGGGGTGTTTCTTATTCGACAAGACCTGGTCCAACTACCTGGGCCGGCTGCCACAGCTCCCAAGGAATTCCTTTACCGTTTCCAAAATCGACGTCTTCCCTGACGAAGATGCGGCGCTGTGGTCGCCTTTCACAGATAAAGGGTTCGACGACTCTCTTGCCCAGCCCTCGAGGACGCGAGCGGTTGCTCTCCACTTGTCCAAGCTATGCGAAATCAGCAGCGACATACTCGTCTTCTTCTACCACCCAAGCCACATAAAGAGGGCCGTTGGCAAATCTCTTGAGCTGAAGAAGCTCAGCGAGCTCCACCAACGGCTTGAGGAATGGCGGATGAATCTGCCCAAGGAGTTTGAACCAAAAGAAGGCTTGCTGCCAAACGTGATATTGATGCTGTAAGTTTACCCGTCGATTTACAAGTGAGACCAGGAAGAGAATACGGGAATAGCTGACCTCGATTCTCCATTAGCTCATTCTTCCATCTTCAATACATTCATCTCTTCAGACCATTCTTAAAATACACCCCGGCCGCGTCACCTCTGCCATCACATATATCACCAAGGCGAATATGCACTGCAAATGCCGGTGCCATTTCCAAGTTGATGAGACTGTATAAAAAGTCCTGGAACCTCCGACAAATATGTAACATTGCAGTTTACATGATACACAGCGCATGTACGATCCATCTGCTCAATCTGCCCGAAAAGACGGCGAAGCGGGATTTGACCCACGGTCTAAGGCATCTGGAAGAGATTGCCGAGGATTGGCTCTGCGCGAGACGGACGCTAAGCATCCTCAGCGTCTTGGCAAGAAAATGGAAATGCGAGATACCAGAAGATGCCGACATGATCCTCAAACGGACGGACGAGAGATTTGAATACTACAGCACATCCGAAGTTCCCTCTCCTGGATCGAGCAACTTGGCTCCTATTTCGCCGGGGACCTCAGAGGAAGGGGCAGTGCAAGCTACCAGGCTCGAGTATGGGCTTACGAGGCACCCAACTTCAGAGCCTATAGCTCAGCCAGCAATACAGACGTCTATCGAGGAGCGGCTGACGATGGATTCGCCCATGTCCCTGGGCAACAATAATCCCCTTCCGGATCAGCGAGGCATGGCCATGGATCCCTCGCAAATGGATTTGCAAGATATACTGGGATGGTCGCAGCAACTAGGGATTCCGTTGAACTCGCAGTCGCCGGCAGCCCAGAGCCACATCTCGTCGGACATGGGCCATCGCCAACCCCAAGCCCAGACGCAAAACCTAGGCATGGACAGCCGCGAGTGGCTGTTGAGTGACTCGGCGCGGCTGCACCAAAGCTTTGGAAGCTGGGATATGAGACCGCAAGCAGGACCTGCGAATCAAATCTTTATGTTTAATAATGGTCGGGGCGATGGGGTGGGGGTTGAGAATCCGGACTTGAGCTCCTTTGACTCGCTTACTGAGTCTTTGACGACGCTCAATGCGTGGTTGCCGTCTGGGCTAGAGTAGAGGGATCGGGGTTCATTCACCAAAAGTGTAATGCTTGCATGCTTTGTGGTTGTGCTTGTATTTGGATTGCAAGCTCTTTTTGGCAAGAAGGCGCTCTTTTGGCAAGGAGATGGGGAAATACATCATGGTGTACCCGTATGGTGATGATTTCATTTTGGGTGAAATAGTGGCAGCTGTAGGACCAAGCCATCCAAACTCTGGATACCCTATTATTATTATTTTGGTCGCAATGCTGGCCTTTTTACGGTCCATGTAACGTTTTAGCTGACAGCGGCGGAGAAAGTAGTGCCGTTATCTTACATGTAGCAGATGTAATGTAGTCTAAAGCATTGATTCCCCTTTCCATCTACATTATCTACTATGGGGGGCACTAAAAAGGACGGTGTCGTGTATGAGCATGTCACTGAGGCTGAGGACCGCTCGGACGGAATGAACATGATGAGAAGATGAATTGCGAGGAAGAAACGTAGAATTGGCCAACTAGATTACGTGCTCGCCGGATTGGGAGTGTAAAAGAAAGAGAGAGAAAATGGAGAGGATTTCTACAGGTTGAGATACGCGACTCGAAAACTATTACAACTGGCCTACCTCTTTCAATTCGCGGTCTCTTTCGTCGTTGATGTCGTTTTATCGCGTCGTCTGTCTTTAGTTTTTGGACAATGGACGATCCGGCCCGTTTAGACAGGGGGGGGATCGCGACAATCCTTGCAAGGAAAAAGAAAGAAGAAGAAAAAAACTCACTTTATCGATCTTGATTGCGCCCGCTTCGCTCGCCCCCTTCCTTAGCTCGCTCCTTTGTTTTTTTTTATCTTCAATTTCGTCATTCCCGCTGGCCCCTTGTAAAAGAGAAAGAAGACAAAGACGCCAAGCGGGAAACAGACAAACGCAACGTTTTCTTTCTTGCCTGGTGTTTGTTTCTAAGAGAGAGAGAGAGAGAGAGAGTGGAATGTCTGACGTGACGCCGGTCTTTTTCGGCTGGCTTGCCGCGCGCTCTCTCTCTCTCTTTCTCTCTCTCTCTCTCTCCCCTCTTTTTTTTTCGGCCCTGCCCCTTGTATCATTTCATCCTCAATATCGGGCTCGGTTCCCAGACGCCGAAGGAGGCCCGGGGAGGACACATTCTTTCGATGTTGGGGTAATTTGTCCACGCCGTCGTACTGCTAGTGGAAAGGAGGGAGGTGTTTTTTTTCTCTTTGGGCGGGCCATTCCGAGTCACACGTGAACAGGCAGGGGGAGGGAAAACGTTTTGCCTGTCTGGGCCTGGGAGAGAACGGGGTCAGTAGGTCATTCGTCTTTCTCGGCTTGGGGTTTGTGTTTTGTTTCCCCTCAGTTTGTTTCCTCGGGCTGTCTCTTTTTCGAAGGGGGAACGGCAGCGGGAGACGGGAAGGGGAGGCGAAAGAGGGAATTGGCTCGCTTCTTTGGTTGTGTTTTTTTTTTCTCGTGGCGTCTGTATCCTCTCCACACCCTTGCAAAACATACTGTACAGTTACCGTCCAATCCGTATACAGAGCACCGAGAATGATGACGGAGTGGTTTTTTTTTTTTTTTTTTTGCTGGGGGACAAGGGGGTTCGTTGAAATTAAAAAGGGCTTGTGAGATGACATACCGCAAAACAAAACGGTGGACCGCTGCTTAAAAAGACTGCTTGCTGGGCTTCTTGCTTAATCTTATAAAACCAGAGGGGAAATTGAAGAGGCCATTGCCCATCCGAAGTCGCCGAAACTCGAGCTTTTCCTCGAGAAGAGCCAAAAAGAGGTTCCCCAGGCAGAGCTAGTATTAGTATTGCCATGCCTTGCGAAAAGAAGCGGAGCAGCGCAACCCAGCAGGCTAAAACAGAGAACCGGCCCCATTGAGCAACAGGGGGAGAAGGAAACCTGGCAAAAAAAAACGGGCGGGTTAGAAGCAAGCAGCCAAAGATTCGCTTGGGTTACATGGATGTCATATTCATGTTCGTCTTCAGCCTACTATACCTGGACAATGGAACGGTTCAATGTCTTTTGCCGCCGTGGAGATGCCTTCTCCGCAAAACAAAGAAAGGCACAGGCACATCATCGTGGAGCCCCAAGAGCATGAGCATGCCCAACGGCGTTTCGAGCTGCAAAGCAAAGCATTGGCGTGGATTAGAGTCAAGCAAGTTCCAAAGAAGGTGAGATTATGGGTATGGGGGAGGGTCTGTCCCCTCACGAGCAGGACGGACGGGATACGGACAGGGGGAACTGAACTGGGGAGAGAGAGAGACTCACACACACACACCCCCAGTCGGCCGCAGGAGATAAATCTTGTTTGCGAGATGGCCACATGCCCGCCGGAGTTATGTGTACTGTAGCGCACCATAGGTACTCGTACAGTAGCGGTGCAAGCAAACAAGCACATGGACTCGTGCAGAGAGAGGGGGAATTGGCCATTGCCATTGAGTTCCCAACTCCAGATCCGACTTCAGCGTCACGGGCCGGCCCTCTTCAGTCTTCATTCTTGCGTTCGTGGGGTTTCGCTGCGTCTGGGGACGGGCCAAAGGAGGAAATGCTTGCTGGCTGATGGATTGACTACCTATGAGAAGAGGCAATTGGTTAGTATTCTCGTCAATCAGCACACCCACACAACTTTCCATGACGTTTCTTTCTCTCTCTCTCCTCTTCCTCTGTCTTTTTTTTCCCGTCTGCTGTGCGGATAGGCCCGGATCGACAATTGCGGCGATAAAACAAAATGGGGTGATTGTCAGGACGAGCATTTTTCGTCTTCAGCTTGGGAATGAGCAGACCATTGACTTACCCCTTGATTGCCAATGGACCACGTCACGATAATGCATGGCCTGATCCCCCAAAGTAGTTTGCAGATTAGCTTTGTTTTTTCCAGCTTTGGGAGGCGACGATCTCCGTCTCTCCCTCTCTCGCTGCTCCTCCTCCTCTCTCCTCTCCTCCGTGTGGGAGGGAAGGGCGCAGAGCTCTACGGAGTATCAATTGTCGGGTTAACAAGTTTAATAATATCACATCTCCATCTTCATCGGGGATGATCAGGACACTTTCAACCGCCTTTGGTTTGTAATCGGAGTTTTAAGGCTGTTTTCTGACTTTAACCTTTTGCCAATTGCCGGGAAGCCTAAGTCTAGAACCATGTCGATGGCTCCCTTTTTTTTTTTTTTGCAAAAATACGAAACGAGTTTCAACTGCCCAAAAGATTGATTGTTTTTTTTTTTTTTTTCACTTTTGGTCCGCCAATCGACCGATTCTCCTGTCCTTACGAGCGACGTAACGGAGGAGCTGCCGATGGCCTCTCCAAAAGCTGGAGTCGGCCCATGTGCGTTCCCTTTTTCGGGATGCCGGGCTTTTGTTCCTGGTCGATCCAGGTTCGTCTTCCCCGCGGTGGCGTCCGGGACCTGGAGGAAAAAAAAAAAGGAAGCCAAGCTGGATGGATGGTTTGGTTTCAATTGGGGCTTGGGAAAAGCGGCAAATTGGCATGATACATGATACAAGGTTAAGATTTGGCAAAAAAAAAAAAAAAAAAAAAAAGTCTGCCTCGTCGGCGTTTCTATTTTCACGCTTTTAGTCGCCAACATCGGACGATATTCCCGTTGGTTTTGCAACCTTGTAGGAAAGCCCAGGGGGCGTGAACCTTGGGTTTTTGAGGATTTGGCGGGGAAACGGGGAAATGGGGAAATGGGGGAAAACCTGGAGATGGCATGTACGAAATATACTCCGGAGTGACAGCTGCTTTGACAGATCTCGCACTTGGAACAAGGCTGGGGGGGGGGAAGGGATCAGGGTCGCATTTGGGGGGGGGCAATATAAAGTAAAGGCTGCTCGGCCGTAGCATCGTCGCATCGTTGGGTTTGTTTGATGCATAAAACTCCAAGCAACCCTCCAGGCTCAATTCATTATAGGCAGCGGATCAATAGCTGGTGTCTTTGGCTTTGTTGTCACTTCACTGGCTGCAAAACTCCGGGGTTCGGCCCGAGTACCGCTTGGCCACATGCAGGTCTCATTCGAGCTTGAAAACAGGGGCATCTCCATTTCGGCGCTATTCGGCAGGGTGTGGTACAGTAAGTGGCAGTGACTTTTGGGGCCGTCCGGTGCCTTGCGGGAGGGGGATCGTGAGCCTCCGAAAAGGCTGTGTGAGTGTGAGTCTCCGAATCTGCGAGCGTTCTGGTCTGTGTAAGTCCGGGGGAACATGGGAGGTGGGCATCGTCATGTATCGAGTATCGAGTATCGAGTACCGTGCCGAGGAGGGCATCGACAGGGCCCCTGCGAGGTATCTGCGTCTTCACCAATCGAGGCGGCGTCGACATCATCACCCTCCTTGCCCAATCTTGACTGCCCGTTCTTAATTTCGTCGTGGGCAGTGATGCGGTGGCGGTTATCGCCACCGGTATTCGCGGTCCAGGGGGGAGGACGACTGATGGCGCTTACACGCTGCCGAGTGCCTTCACTGCTTGATACTTGATGCCGTACCTTGGATGGCAGCATACGAGCAGAGCCCATATAATGTAGGAGTATTAGTTGTCGTATTCAACAGTAATACGACTCTCGTGCTTACTGTATAAACCTCGTGTTATTGCGATTGTCCGAGTCTTCGTATCGAGCTCTGGGTTAGTAGTTGTTCGTATTACACGACGACACAGTCTGATGCGCGTCTTCCTCCTCCTCCTCTTCTTCATCATCACGGGTTCGGCACCAAGTGATCAAGTTGCAAGTTGAAAACTAACCCTCAAGTAGCTACATTACCCCATAGTCTACCTACTTCTACCAAACAGACATCTACTACTGAAGCTACGAGTACTAGGCGATTCCTCTTGTTTGCCGTCGCGCAGCTCTTACTGGGTTGGGGAGCTGATGCATTCAGACCTCCTCCATGTGTACAAGTGTCCGTCGGCGGCCAAGGTAGCATCATCTGTAGTCTTTTTTCCCGATGACATTGTGCCCAAGTGTGATGCCGCTTGCCCCTTCTGCAGGAAGCATGAATCAGGTCCCGATGGTGTTGAGGGTGTATCGCCGCAACGCAATTTATTT